AGAGATTTGCAGTGGCCATATTATGAATGGTTTATTTCTGTCTGGCATTTATTACCGTTCCAGTCTTGCCTATGTAACTAAAAAAATAAAGCACAGATCTAAAAGTACACAGTATTAGTTTTACCCATAATCAATATAGCAACTGATTCAAAATATGCTACAGAGGCACTTTACAAATAAGGAAAATGTAATTTAAATCCATGTTTCAAGGTTATTTAATTCCAAAGGTTACTTCTAACAATCTCAACTACCCACAGAGCTGCTAGTTTGATTGTTTTCAAACAAAAGCTGACTGAGACATTCTGTGTGTGGCTGTACTTACACATAATGTTTCAAAGCAGTAATGCTCTCTTGTGCTTAATGAGACATTACAAAATATATTCTCCATTTGAAAAAGGTGTGCAATACTCAATGCAGAAATTAAGTTCATTTTTAAAGTATAACACAAGTATAACCAAATACATACACTATATACAGGGTGTTAAGAAGTTAATAAGGCTGCTTAGTCTTTTAAATCTGGCGTATGGTACTGCAGATAGGACACACACACAACCACAGAAGATGTCATAGATATTCCCCTGAAAGTCCAAATCTAAGTGCTTGCATAAATGTCCTAGCTACTTTGAACACTCAGTTGGACTTTGAACTGAAGAAGTAGTTACTTCTAAATTAGATTTCTAACATGGAGATGTTATTTTTGGAGAAGAATATAAGAAAAAAACTTGATTAGCCTCTGGACAATCTGAAATTTCTCGATGGTATTAACATCTGCATGACTGTGTACGCTGCATATTCATTTATACATACTGAACAAGAAACATAAACCCACATCCTCTAGTAGAAAATGGGAAACATTCAAAATAATAAATTTTCTTTAGGAAAGCTTGGTTTATATATACAGTACATAAAAAGAAACCCTACACAATTGTCAGCATACAAAAATATGAGTGCAGTATCTTTTTATACTTCAAAACCTAATGCTGAAAAATACAAGTATCCTGAGTCAGGTATGTGCTGCACATCTAATTTATCAATGCCAGGGTACTGTTGGAGTACAATTAGAAAAGCACTACCTGCATTTATCAACAAGTACAGAGATAAAATACTTAAGGCAATGCATTAGCTCTTTTCATAATGTTAAACAAAAATGGTGCAAAATATGCGTAAAATGCTGGTAGACATATCCAAGAAGGAGCTGTAAAATAAAGAGTATGGAACAATATGTATATATATACTACAGTTACTGATGAAAATAAATGAAAGACACTGTTCTTTTTTGAGCATCATGCTTAACCATGATGTGTATACTCACATTCAGGCAATTGTCTTAAATTATTTATATATTTATATATATATACACACTACATCTGACAATGAATTAATAAAACATGTTTTGCTTGTGAATTTCTCAGGTAAAAACAGATCAATAAAAATGGTTCATTTTTTTTTCCATTAAAGGATTCCAACAAATGAAATTAAATATGATTACTATAAATCCTTGTTGAGTAAAGTTTAATTGTTTTGGCTCTAAACCAGTAGAAGAGAAGTTCTGACTACTATTGACTTCATTCAAATAAACAAATATAAACCAGTCCAAAAACCAAGTAAGAACTCTATGCCAACTCAGTTGTTCCTTGGACTGTAACCCTCCCTTCCCAGTTGTTAAATCTCCTATACATCACCCACAGACTAGCACTGAATTATGGTGGTATTTGGTAATATATGCCTCTTGATCCTTCAATATATTTGTGGAAGAATTCCACTTGTCTTGGAAGCAAAAGTAAAAATTACATATAGAATGCTTTCCCTAAAACAGTACAGCACATTGTTGTAAAAATAGGCTGCATAACCTGTTTCTGTCAAAGCAAAGATTTAAGAAGCAATAGGTGATACACTGCTTGTAAATCATCACTCTTGGTCATCTCTTCTTGTCACCTGAAGTTTAAAAATTTATGAGAGGATAAACATACTGTGATGAGAATAGATTTTTTTTTTACTCTGCAAGTGTACCTTGTATAAGGAACAATACATCCTCTACATATACCAAAGAAGATAAACAGTTTTAATAATGAGTATATGTAAATTTATAATTTAAGAATGGGCTTATTAAAGGTCCAAATAATGTTATTAAAGTCAGTGTGTTAGAACGTGCAGTGTGCTCTGAAAACAGAGGGACAAGAAAAGCAGTTTGGAAAGCTGCACAATGTTTCAACCAAATATGGGCTTTTGAAGAACATTTTGAGAAATCAGGCACTCTTATTAGACAGTCGGCGGGACATTTATGCCCCATTTACTCTGGAAATAGGTTGGATTTAATGATCTCAGGTCTTTTCCAACCCAATTGATTCTGTGATTCTGTGTAATTTTGTGAAAGTGTATTTTCATGTGCTACCTGTAATCCCAGAAAACCAGGACTTAAGTTTCTCAGCTCCTCAATACCATGCTAAATAGATACTTTACTTTGCAGAATGGGTCACCAAAAAAGCTCATAACGCTGAATACAGTTTTGAAAACTGTTTCTAGAAGGGGTAAAAAAGAATAAAGGACCAAAAATTAGATAGAAAAACAAGAAGTCAAGATTTCTGATGCACACTCATGAAATAAGAGCTAAAGAATTTGTTCCAGGGACTGGCTTGTAACTATCTGTCCCATACAAATATCTATTCTTCCATGCTTTCCACAACAAAACAAAATAGGGAATTATCACATTATACAGGGAGAATATTTTGGAATATTTGCACTCCTACCATTTTCAGTGCTTTATAAAAAAGTGATGACTAATTACAGTAATGCATATGCATGCAACAGATTCTGCTTGCTAGGTTATTTTCTATCACACAAGATTAGCAGCTCCATGTAGCTGACAGCTGACTTCTCTCATAGTAAATCTAACCTCATGTGGGCAAGTCTCACAGGAAGATGGGAGCTCCCAGCTGGGCTGACACCGGCACACTTTTGGCATGAGGCAGTTACAGTTTCTCTGTGCTTTTGATGCCTGAAGCTGAAACATTACTGGTGGTTTTGCCTGGAGCAGGAATAACCGTAGCCAATACTGCTGCTCTGAATAAAACACATCTCAAATATGAGATCCTGACTAGAACAGCAACAATGTACAAACATTAGGTCATGCCAAACGAGAAATATAAGTCTCTAAAATTAAAACTTTGTTTTCTGATCTGAATTTTGGTGTTTGTTTTGTGTATTATGTTTTTTTAATTAAAAAGATTATAGTCCAATAGCTTCCAATAAATATGAAAGAGTAAACTTCAAAGCACAAAGGTGAAGTTGTTACTGGAGTGTTCATTACTGCATGTCTTTGTCACAGTTTAGGGCAAACATTCTATATTTAAGGTAAAACCAGTACTGATATGACTACATAAATATATACACATTGAAATGCAATATATATGCACTGACATATATATCTGTGGATATATAAAAATATTTATTTTCTTAGCAAAGTTAAAGTCTGTGTAAAAACATTTATAATACTGAAAAAGGTAGGAGCCTTAATTCCTCCTTTGGAGAAAAGTAACAAGTTCCCTAAATATCCCATATAAAAATCCCACTCTCTGCAAGAATACAGATCCTTTTGAGTTCTCACTTATTTAATTGTGGATTAATATATTTGTTGAAGATTTCATAAATAATTAGATCATATGCAATAATTACGTTGTGAAGTGTGATTGTTACAGCATAACTATAGACCTCTGTTGTACAAAAAATAATTTTTATTCATACAGTATGTGTCTTGGTCTTATGGAATGCATAGCTACTGCTACAAGTAGAACTATTTCAGAATACAATTTTTGTTCTAATGTGTTCACATTTAAACCTCATTTTGGGGCATTTTCTCTGAAAATTCTTTGGCCTAAAGAACAGCCAAATGCAGATAAATTTTCCCTGGGCTCTCTAAACAGTCAGAACACTTTCAAAATAAATTTATAACAACTACCACTCCAAAGAACTGAAATGCTATACAAAGCAATTCTGACAAAATATGGGAAATGGTAGCATAAAACATCAAAACTCTGAACTATGCTTCAACTTAAACCACAGACATATCCAGTTAAACATAACAATACTGACTCATCTGTGCCTTATGTAAATTTGCTAGTGTAGTGCTATAGAAAATTATAAACAAATCTGAAAAACTCTGAAATGAAGAGAAGCAATAATGTAAAATATCCACTTGACAGAGTCTGAAATTCAGTCTAACAGTGGGTGAAAGTCAGACTTATTCTTCTCCTTCGTTATAATGGCAACTGAAAAAGGGCAGAACTTCACCTCACAGGCTATATATGTACTCTTTCTAATCTACAGGTCCTCCTTCCAAAGCAGTGTGACAATGCACTGCTTCAGATATGGCTGAGTTTACTGATTACAAGCACACACTCACAGCAGCAGTCTGCCTGCAGCCATTAAACACAATTTTGAGATGAGTTTTCCATCTTTAAACCTCATTTACATTATATCCTTGAAACAGTAACATGAACATTCTGAGAAATTAGGACAGCAACAGGAAAAAAGGCTTTATCAAGTGCAAAGGGCCCCATATATGAAGTGCACGCTCATTATCAAGCCTAGTTTATATAGGCTTTTATTCCTTCCACAAGAATGCATTCTGTATAGTGTACAAGTGAAAACATTCCCTCTGAAAAAGACATTTGTTTTCAAGCTGCTGGGTATACCTATAATGTGGCTGAACAAGATACATCAAATTAATCTGATTCCAGTGTAAAATTCCCAAGGAATATTCCTGATCTACTAGTGTAAGGCTGGAGAGCACAGATTTCAGAAATGCTTTTTGGAAGACATTTTTCAATACCAATGGAGAATATTTAGGGTATTTCTTTCTTTATCCTGAGTAAAAGGTTGGTGTTTTATTTTATTTATTTATCAAAGCCCTAGGGAATACTGTTATAGTGCAGTTGGATTTTTGTCATACAGTCCCAGTATCCTAAAGGCCATTATTGGATTGTTTTCTGGAGCAGTTCTCCTCATTCTTCTCCAACAGCTGGTGGTGGCTGGCATAGCTTGTATAATCTGAAAATGACAAAACCCAAAGCAATTGTTATTCTGAGAGCTTGTTCATTATTAATATGAGGAAATTTAAGGAATACAAACTAAGTCTATGTCTTCCTCCACTACAAAACAAGAGATACTGAATTCAGTTTAATACCATCAACACAAAACTAGTAAAATCTTCTTTGTGAGCATTAATGTTTACATTGAAAGTGGAATCATTAAAATCCACATCTATTAGCAGTCTTATAAAAGCATTTCAGTATAGTCAAATTTTCATATTTCTTCAGTGAAGATCCCTTCACTAATCCAATTACCAGTTGCTTCCCTGAATTTCTAAATTGGAAAAGCTGTTTGGTGAATGCAACTGCCTCCATTTCTGTTTTGTCTTGGCCCAGTCAAACCCCACTCTAAGAATGGTTCCCCAAAGAACTGATGCTGTTTGAAACACCTAAGACAGATGTCAGACATGTGACACACCAGCATGAGGATTTTAAACTCTCTCCCCCTCTGTTTCCACATGGATGATGCCAAGACCAGTCAGATTTGGTTCAAATGACTACCTTAGCACAGACTAAAATAGCCACTCCTTTTATGAAGGCTTTTGGACTTTTCTTAAATCCTTTTGCCAGGACTTGGTTATTAGAAAGTGTTTCAAACTTTACCCTAATGTTAAAAATACTGAAAATAAAAGGCAATCACTCTGACCTCAAACCCTCTGTTCTGTACTCCTGTCCAGCATACAGTACCTCCTCTGTAACAACAGCAATTAGAACTAGTAATAGACATGATCTCATTTGGAGGTTACATCTTTTCCTCAGGGAACATGTATCATTGAAGGAATAACAAAGAAGTGACCACGTATGGCATGGGAAAGAGAAAAAGCATCAGAAGCCAGAAACAAAGAGACAATGACACAGCATGTGCATCAATACTTGACATGAAGACTCTGATGTTGGAATATCAAAGTAATAGAAATAGCAGGTTTGGTAGGTCTGGCTACAGGTAGGGTGGTGAATCATCCAGTGACCTGGGGGCTAGGGATACTTAAGATACTCAGGGTACCTGAGTATGACATGGATATTTTGCAAATTGGCCTGCTAAATATCATGCTCATTTACATGACTCCATTTTAACACATCAAAATTTTCAAAATTTTCAAAATTATACTACAAATCAACACAGAAAAGAAAAATCTGAACTTGTGGCTGGGATCCACAAACAATTCAAGATCAATGGGTTGGTGACCGCTTGGCATGATACCCAAGAGGGCATGGGCTTAAGCTCTGCCAGGGGAGATTTAGGTTGGATATTAGAAAGAAACTTTTTACAGAGGGAGTAATCAGACATTGGAATGGGCTGCCCAGTGAGGTGGTGGATTCACCATCCCTGGAGGTTTTTAAGATGAGACTGGATGTGGCACTTAGTGCCATGGTCTAATAACCACAGCGGTGTTGCATCAAGGGTTGGACTTGATGATCTCGGAGGTCTTTTCTAACCTGGTTGATTCTATGATTCTGCTACTGAAATGATGTGAGGTGAGTATGTATGGCTCCATCCATGAGTGTTCAGAGCCTCTGCAACATCCAGGCACATCTTGTCAGAAACAGCATCCTGTGGCTACGCAAGAGCAGGGTAGGATAGCTGCTGTTATCCAATTTCAGTTCCTTTAGGAGTTAAAACCCACGGGACACTAAAAAAGCAGAATGCCCATGGGCTAAATAACTTTTGTCCGAATCTCCCTGAAATTATTATCAAGCAGTATTTTTTCTGGATGGTAAGAATGAGGAGAATCAGTTCTGTCAGGCAAACAGAAACTGGAAACCTTCTTTCCAATCTTCACCATAATGTGTTCTGAAGATCATTGGACTCTTCCACGTGGTCATATGGCAGATTCACAGATCCAATCATTTAAGGTCACATTGTGCAGACATCAAAGTATTTGTTAGGAGTCATATATAAAGCAATACACATATATACTATATTTTGATATGAATGAGAGAATAAGATAGTCTGATCTTTACACAGACAAGTATGCAGAGAAGAATAAACAGGGGTTGAGTTATTTGATTCTGCTGGTATAATAAAGCAATAATATTCAAATCTGGCAGAAGACAGATAAAATTACAGTCAGAATCTTACCGAAGTAATTGCAGTGGGGTTAATACTTGATGATGTTTTAGCAAAATCTAATTTCTATGGAATAATGTGCAGCAAACCTCACTTCCAAGTCTGTGTATTCTTCAGGTTAAAGTGGTAATCATTAAGACTGTCTTCAGAGCAAGAGATATAGGGGAATTCTGAAGTAAGGCTAACAGTAAGGCTGCATAAATCCCTAAGGATCTAAAGTTGCTGAAGATGCTGTAGAACAGAAACAGCCTGTTCTGGGTCGATATACATGGAACAACTATTTGAGATGGTACAAACAGATCAGCTGAGAAAACATGGAAATAGTGGCAGCTGCAGAGAATGGAGAACCCTGTCAAGCAATGTTGAATGAAACCAAATATAAAATTGTTTTCCAAGCAGAGAACTAAGAACCCATAGTCTCATTTAGCTATACGTCAAAAGTATCACTCTTGCTGATGACTATTCTGACTTATGCATCTATTGGTACACCAAATGCCCCAAACACTGAGGTCTGGGATATTCCTGTGACATTGCTGTTGCTGTTGACTGGCAAGGGTGCAGGGTGCATCTGTCTATACTGTGTTCTAGGAGCTATCTCATAATTTTTCTTCAGCTTTTCAATGCTATGTTGTGGGAGTTTCAGCTGGAAAGAGGTTATCTTTTCTCAGCTGATGCAAAGCTGAAAAATGTCTCATTGCTAAGTTTTTCTTTTCAAGAACTTAGATTTTTCCTTTATGACAAGAGCTCTGTCATGTAGGGGTGGGAAAAGTTTGTTTTGCACCAATTCTTTGGTTGTCCCCAGATTTATGTCAGAAAGCAGGACTCCATTTAAGGCCCAAATCATACTGTTCAAAATATGAAAAGGCTTCTCACAGCTTTTAATGTAATAAAATGTTAATTTATTGTCATAGGTTCCCACAATGCAAGACAGTTGGTCAGGGAATTTTGGTCCTACACTGCCTCTAAACTAATCACTACTGTGAAAAAGGATGCCCTCATCTGCCGCTAAGGGCAATGACTACATTGCTGATGGATTTACTCCAGAATCAGTACTTTTGTTGGATGATACTTAATCTCCTTTATGGGGCATGCAAAATGCATACATGCTCCAACAAATGCTGCCAGTAAGCAACTGAACAGTAGCTGCTACTCAGATTTACTCACACCTTTTACACTTAAGGTACACTCCTTTTCTAGAATCAGAGTAAGCACCGGCATGGAACAGTGTGTGGTGATCTGTTGCAAACAAGTTATGAGCAGTAGCCTGATTCCCTACTGGGAGAAACAGGGACACCTGAGGAAAGGGGAGCAAATTGTGTAAACAAGTTCCTGATTGTTAGTGCTTAGAGCACAGAAGGCTATGGATATCATTTGTGTTCATTCACATGGTTACCTCTATGAGGTTTTACTAATTCCCTGTTTCCTTATTGAAATTTAAACACCACAGTGGGTTTGTTATGTATTTCACAGATCTGTTTACTCTGTTAAGCATTCAATGTGTTATCATGAGTCCACAAAAAATATTATGTTTTAAATTAGTAAAAACCAGTTTAAATTAGTACTGGATTACTAGAACCAAACTTCAAGAGCAAATTAAGAACATGGTTGTTTGGTTATTTTCATTTATAAGTATTGTGCTTGTTAAGAAACATTTCAGATACCTGCAATCCATCACAGCATTAAAAAGCTGGATAAATATAGAACAGTCCATTTTTCACTCTAATGGATGTTTCGGAAAGAAACAAAGAAAGACTACATCATCTCTAAACATAACTAGAACATGATTTTGCTGAGATACTGTGGTACAGTATTTCATTAAAATGGGGTTATGGATTTAGTTATGAGTATTTCCCCAAAACCACTAAGCATTACAAGTGATGAAGGACTTAGTCCAGTGTTTTCATAATTAACATGAACTAGATTTCATTTTTCAAAAATGGGAATGTTTTGAAGTGCTACATAGCCTGAACTTCTGCATCTAATTACTTGAAGTAAAACTGTATGGCTAAGAACACAATTGATTTTACGTGCCTTAAGCGAAATTTTACAGTTGCAGCACAATATAGTCAATGTTTACTGCTAGGTTTTGAGCAGCTATGACTGAATTTGGCACAAACTAGAAAAAAACATGGTCTAGGACACAAAGAATCAGTTACCTTGGCACAGACTGTGGCGTTCGATCCCTCACTCCTAAATTCTTGGCTGTGTTTTGTACTCTTGCACCCTGGGAAAGAAAAACAACAGTTTTGCTTCATTTATTCCAACACAAATTAGGGAATTTTCTGAACTTTCCAGATGAATATAACTATTGATTACAATTAATTAATAAATACATTGCATCTCCCAAAAGAACTATCATCTCCTAAGGTGGGGAACAAGTTAAAGTAGTACATTAATTCTCAACTTAGAGAAATATGCAGAAAAGAAACAAAAATATTTCCATTTGCTAATATAAAAGACATTAATTAAAAAATAACATTTAAGGTTTAAAACAATCCAAACACATCTTGTTTCAATTTGATTTTTGTCACCATTGTTGTAGAAATCATGGATACAGTTCTTTTCTGAAATGCCACTTATTTTCTATGAACTTCTGGACAAACAAATATTACAGATTAGTTCCTATAAACAGCTACAAAACTACAAAAATGGCCTAAATTGAGGTACTAAATAAGGATTGAAAAGAAAAATGCAGTACCTAATCTTCCTTTATAATCAAAGAGTCACAAAAAAATAAATCAAGTTGGCAGGAACCTCCTGAGACTGTTTAGTCCAATACCCTTCCTTATAGCAGGGTCAACTAGAAATACTGGTCTCTCTGTACCTTAACTGATCCTTTTAAAAACAATAATGAAAGTGTTTTTATCTCACTGACTCATCCAATAAGAAGAAAGTTAATAAAACAAACAATGTTCATATACATGATAATGAAACAAACAAACTAGTTTAGATATAGCAAAGAATTTAGTAAAATTTGTTTTTAAATTATGAGGTCTAGCTTTTAAAGTGCAGTTTTATTAGTCATCACAAAGAATGTTATGTTTTCTACCATTTTAAAGGATTTGGAAACTCCTTTTTTACTTTTTCTCTTTCTGTACTACCTAAATTCAGGACAAAAATCTATAACCTCAGAATTCTTACAGTGAGATCTTGGATTGATGTGAAACATGAAAGATAATTTACATTCCTAACAGAACTGCAGTGCCAGATTCACATGAATGTAAAAGAGGTATAATCATTGGTTCAATTATGTACAATGAAACTAGACCTTTCATTTGACTGAAATTGGGTACCCAGGTAATTGAGAAGGTATTAATTCATTGCTATAGGCTCAAACAGAAGATAAAAAAGGCTGTCTACTTATATACATGTAAGTCCTTGGGGCTTATGTAAATCAACATTTGCCACAAAAAGAAATACTGTGTCCTTACATTTTTTGTAGGAACAAAAGACAGTGGTAAAGATAGAAAATAATAACTAGAATACCTATAAAACTGAAGGTAGAATATAAAATTATTTCACTAGAGTTACATCTAGCTCAGTAAGCTCGTCTCTGACAATTGCAAAGACACACGACTATAAAGCATGACAAACATGTTTTTCCCCAGGAACTCCTCCAGAATTCAATAATTAGCCATTCTACACCTCCTCTGTTCAGCAGCAGGTACGTATTTAATCAGTTTCAGTGATTCTCTTCTTTCCCTTCTCATCTTGAATCCATTAATAAATTCACATCCCCAACCTTCTTGTGAAAGGAGATCCACATCTTTGGCGCAATCTTATGTGGCACAAGCTTGTTATGTCAGGGATCATAGAATGGTTTGGGTTGGTAGAATCTTAAAGATGATCTAGTTCCAACGCCCTGCCATGGGCAGGGACACCTTCCACTAGACCAGGTTGCTCAAAGCCCTGTCCAACCTGAACATACCCGTGAACACATCCAGTGATGCAGCATCCGCAGCTACTATGGGCAACCTGTTCCAGTGCCTCACCATCCTGACAGTAAAGAATTATTTCTAAACCTAAAGTATAAATTTTTTTCTAAATTAAAGAATCAATCTAAGCCCACTCTCTTTCATTGTCCTAAGTGACACTACATGACCTTGTAAAAAGTCTCTCTGCAGCTTTCCACTACTTTTATTTGGTTTTAATCTGACAGTTTCATTTGATGTCTTTAGTTCTGCATTGGTGAAGACAATGGTCAGTCCCTACCCATGACACATGTTCTTCAGGTCTGTCATTTCCTCCTTCACTTGTGAAGCTGACCAGTCTTAGATTATTTTGTCTGGCTGCCTGTTCTGTCTATAAACCATTCCCAACCATTGATAATTTTTTTTCTGATCTTCTCTGAACCTTTTCCACTATGCTATGTCCTTATGGAAGGGATAAGAACAGTTCAAAATAGTTCAAAATACAGTCATGACAGCATGATTCCTACTCAGTCATCTATTTCTGCCTAAACTATTATAACTTCTGCTTTACTAATAACTACTGAGAACTGAGATGATGTTTTCTGTCATATCCTGAGGTCCTGAACATGAAATGGAACAGCAACCTCACAGTCAATTATTTCGAATGTGAACTTAGGGTTTGCTTTTTCCCCAGTATACTTCACTTAGGAGTTATCTACACTGATTTTCATCTGCTATTTTTTTGCTCAGTCATGAAGTCCTGCAAGATTCTTTTGCAATTCTTCATAGTTACTTCTCATCTTTAATAAAAAAATTGAAAATAGTTCAGTAGAGAATGGGGAGGATGATGTGGTAAGAGAACACAACTGAAAAATGACAAATCGGATGAACTGATTTCTTCTATCTACACAAATGATGGCTTATCAGGGAAATGATACTCAGATTTGGGACAGACTTTTTAGCAGGACCTGTAACAATAGAAGGGGTAATGTTTTTAAACTGAAAGAAGGTAGATTCAGCCTAGATATAAGGAAAACATTTTTTATGATGAGGGTGGTAAAACACTGGAAAAGGTTGGCCAGAGTAGTGGTAGATGCCCCATCTCTGGAAACAACAGAAACACTGAAAGTCTACTGCTAAAAAAGTAATCAAATCTAGTCTCCAAGTGTATGGTATACTGGATAGAAAACAGGAATCGAAGGAAAAAAAACAAAAAAGGAAAAATCTCAGTTAAATGACACATAAAGTAAAACATCCTAATGAAAAGGTTAAGAAAACTCTGGAACAGACTACATGGGAAACACTGAGAAGGAATCTCCACTACTAGAGGTTTAATAACAGATGCAACAAATGTCTGTCATGAATGACATAAAGATAGCTGATCAGGTGTTGGTTACAGAGTTAGACATGTTGAGTCCAGACCTTCATCATCTCCGCTGTCCTTTTCTTGGTGCCACTTCCTAAACTTTTTCTTTATTTATTTTTCTTTAATTATTAAAGAAACCTCACCATGACAGACTGCTGAGACTGGCACATGTTTAACATCACTGAGAGCCAGACTATAGATATATATGCAAAAACTATCTAAATCAATCACGTGCAGATCCTGGACATCCCTGCTGTGACTGAGAACAAAACCAACCTATTTTTACTTGCATCACTCACTAGAAAAACTAATTTTAGTATCTTGATCACATAATAAATGAAATACATTGATTTAAAAAGAAGTCTAGTTTTATATATTAATGTAATTTATTGTTTAGTAGAGGCACGAATTAGACCTTACTTAAAACCACCAGAGTCTTATTTCTTTTGAGAAAATGCGCTCAAGAATTACTAGCAATGTGCTACATGACATCTTTTTGTCACCACTGAGTATCATTATACCATTTCTATTTCCATCTAGTGTTAATTTATACTTCTCCAATATTATTCTTAATTGAGATTGTTTGTCTCACAGAGGCATAAAGGATAGCTGTGCTATGTGACTCTAGAACGTTACCCACTGCGTATCAGTACTGCCAGAGCACTGGTGAAATACGATGGCAGCTCTGGGGAGACACCAACAATCTGGACTCTTCTGTAAGAACTAGTATTCTCATTGCCTTGAGAAAAAATTATAGGTTTATTTTCAAGTTACACACTAATTTAAGGATAGCAAGAACCAGTCACATAAAGAAAACAGATTGTCTTTATGTCCTGTTCAAAAAGCTCTAAATCAGTACAGCTCTTATAAGAATTATTCAAAATGTAGTGCTGCTATTATAGTCACAAAAAGGCATGAAAAAATGATTACTCATATAAAAAAACCAGCAGAAATTCTCTCCCGGCCTTTTCTGTTTATCAGCTTTTTAGTTACCTTTCTTCCTCAGAGCCCTCTGCCCCCTGGCAGCTCCCTTTCTAGGCCTCTATCCTCTCCACACTTTGCTGTATCCTGAAGACACAGTGCTGTCAGGATGCTTTACATAGTATTTTGTGGGTACAGATGTTTACATAAGTATATACATCAGTAAAAAAAGTTACTAAAAGACAGTTGGGACGTTTTGTCAATTTTTTTATTTTATAAATCAATCAAGACTGGATTAGCAGAAAAAACCGGAAACTACTTAACTAAAACCATCCCACAGACCCAAGTCATACCCACTCTCACAAATTGGTTTCTTTTTGTTAATTCTCACAGACCAGGTGCTTGTGAATACCTTATAACTCACAGGGCAATTACTTTGAACCTTGTTCCAACAATACAGTTGGGGCTATTATGAGTATTGCTCAACAAGATTCTGACCTTATTCAATTTAAAAAAAAATAAATAAATTCCTGAGGTCACCCAGTCCATCAGGTGACTTCAGTTATTCATTACTGGTGCACCAAGTTGGAAAACATATCAGCTTTGATTAGAGACAATTTCCCCTTGTGGAAAGCTGATACTGCCAGAAGTTAATGTTGCTGAGCAACAGATGGAATCGATGTCCTTTCATTTGCACCTCCCTATGGCTACTATCTTTATTCCACAAAAGATTTAGGGTGTAAATGGGCTAACAAATTCATTAGTTTGTTTTATATGAAGCCAGGAGAAAGGCACATATATTGCCCTTAACTAAATGTTCTGCATAAAACCCCATGAAGCCTTTTTATTTTTTTTTTCCTTCCAAGTTTTATGGCCTGCATTATGCTCCTGACAATTAAATTCTACAGATAATTTAAACATTAAATCCAAACAGGTTTCTAGAAAATACCAGAGTGCGTTGTTGAAATTACCCCAAAACATTTAGAATTTAATAGAGGGTTATATTTCTACTACAGAACTTCAAGACTGATTTAAAATTACAACAAAAGATTATTACTCTATTAAATCCTACAGTGGTCTCCTGCAAGAGGAAGAATGTGTGAAAAAAGTCTGGTTTGATATACTAGCACACTTTTTTGCAGTGTTTGTGGCTGGAATTGAGATATTGGTATCTTAAACAGCTATTGATCACCTGCTGTTTTACTTCAAAGAATGTAGCCTCACTGAAGGCCTTTCACCACATCTGTATTTGAGCAAGTACAGTTACAGCTGCTCAAAGCCATGTGAGTTCCTTTCATTTTATCTTTCATTTTCATTTAAAAAACTGCAGAAGATCCACAAATGAATCAGCATTTTTTGAAATGGCCTAGACCTGTATTTTGAAAATGAATACTTTGACAGAACATATCCTGCAAGCAGATACATGAAGAACTCTACAACTACGTTTTTTGAATGCAAAATACTCAAAATACTGCCTTTTGTCTAGAAGTTCAGGAGCAGACATATCAATCTACACATGCAAGTTTATTCTTATACAGCAGTAGCTTTCTTTACAAGTCAAGTTACAGATGTAATTCCTTAGCAGATGTACACAACTTGATTCAAGAACCTTGGGGGCATTTTTTTCAATACAGAAACTTAATTTATGCACTGAATTAAGTGATAGTCCAATATAAAAAGGAATGAGACTAAATACTTTGATGTACCCATGTTCAGCAGCAACACTTACATGTAATCTGAACATATGGCTTCAGACTATACACAATTGCTTTAACAGACTAAAGGTGTCATCTAGCATACGTGTATTTTTGTCTACAGCAAGCTAGAAGTAAAGTATAGTTGTTTAATAATTTTCATAACTGTGATTGCTGCAAAAATATGTAGCAAAATTAATGAAAACAATAAATTAGATGCCATCTAAACTCCAGAAATTATTAATCCTGTTTTATCTGTGATTAATTGTTCCAACATTTTTTTTCACTTTAAGATTGAGTGCATCCTGTATCTTGTTTATGATTTTGTAATAGGATTGAAAGCTAACACAGGCTGGGATATATGTTCCATATGCACATAGGGTAATTAAGCTCCACTCATCCTCTCTTTGATCAACTGAATAGGTTTAGCTCTTTAATATTCACTTCATAAGCCTTGTCTATCAACCTCTGGACCATTTGTGCTCCTCCTTTGAATTCCTTCCAAGTTTCATCCTTTTGAAAGTATTTTCTGATAACAAGATATTTTAGAAAAAGTAGTGCTAATACGGTAGAGTGTATCCCCTATTTTTAGTTGATATTGCTTTTCAATCCAGTATTTTTTAGCATACCTTAGCACCAAGAGTTCATGTTGCAGTGGTTATCTATCCACAACAGCCTCTAAATCCTATTCTGTTATGACCAAAGAGTGGAAAACATTATTTTGAAATAAGCACATTGTCCTCAGGAATCTTGCCTGGAAATTTAAAACCAATAGTATTTATTTCTGCCCTTCTCTTCTACACTTCCCCTTTATTCAGTACATAAGTCACTTGTTATTAACAAGAGTTAATAATCTTAAGTTATTTTTATGGATCACATATATTAAAATAAAGACTGTCTCAGATGTAAGGTGATGCCACAGCAGTGACTACACAAAAAGCTTTTAGTAAAATCATAACCCTGTAAAAATTATGAGCCATTTACACACACACAGAAAGCAAGCATCTGGTTAAAAATGGCCTATGTCTGTATCAAAAAAATAACACAACCTCTTTCAGTCACCAATAAAGGAAGAGATTAAAAAAAACCCAAAATAACGCACAAACAAAAAACCACCCAAACTAACAAAACTCACATAGATATTACACAACATTAAGATGGAGGTTAAAAAATGCCTGGCCAAGCCATTCTTTCTAGATGATAACGTCTTGTTTGGAAACTTGCAGATCTCACCCACAGCGAGCATCCTACCTGTTTGCGCATGACATCTGTAGCTTGCATGATGTAGCGAGGAGGTAGCCCATGGCTCCGAGCCAGGATGATGGCCTGCTCCAGGGTAACGCTCAGAGTGCAGCTGCAATGGAACACAGAAGTCAGCTATCTGCTAGCAGAGAGTTCCTTAGAAATAATTGCTTCTATATCAATTATCTTTTTTAAAAAGAAAATATAAATGAAAATATTACATAGTAGACCTGTCCCCTTATCCTTCCCTCTTCGGCGCAGGCATTAGTCTGAACAGTATAATGTTTCTAAGCAGAAAGACTTTAAGTGTAATAAGTGTTCCTGCTGCTTAGAATTAAATGCATTTGCCTCGTTATGTTGTTAAAACAACCAAACAAACCAACCCCCCCCAAACCAAAACCAAAACACAAACCCCACAACCCAACTATGGCTTGGTAAGTGCATGAGGGAGTGACAACCCAAAAAGAAAATTTTTTTAAATTATATAAATTCCTTTTCTGTTCACAACCAAAGCACTGCAATAATCAAATCTCTTCAACCAGAAAAGTGGATTGTACAGAAAATGATTCTACCTCAGAGAACCCAAAAAAAGCTGTGGTTTTCAAGTTCAAATAATAAAAGCAAGGCACATGATTAAAATAGACTTTTGAGTAGCCTTTTGGCAAAATCCTGACCAAAGTATTTTGAATAGTTTATAATATGCGCACAGAACAGACAATATGTTTCAATCAAACACTCATCTTGCTGAGCAGAAGATATGTAGGAGGAAAAATACATCTGCGCTTATTTTCTTACTGAAAAAAACCAAACCCCTGACACGTTTTAAATGCTGCTTAAGTTAATTTCTGGACTGTAAAAAGTTTCACAGTAGTGAATGTAGAAGACGCTTAATTTGATCTGTAGCTTTATTAACGGCCTTTCATTAAAAATTTATAAGCTAAGTGATTTTCCTTGATAATGAAATAATTTTCATTTCTCAGTTTCATGTATACACTGACCTCAGAGTTAACTGGAGGTAAAAATCTATTGACCTTTTGCGTTATGTGTTTGATTAAGGTGCAAGATAGCTAAGTATTAGATTAAAAATTCTACACACTGTGACTTCGTCTTGTCTTTGAAAGGTGAAATATTGCACAAAGTATATGCTCATAATATTTGCCAGCACCAAAATCCAAACATACAACCTTCAAGACCAGACAGGAAAGGAAGCTTTGTCCCACTGACAGTGGAAAAAAGCAAAAGTACCTGAAATGTAGTTTTACAGGTGTTATCTAAGCCAGAAAAAAAAGGGTAAAAAGCTTCTCAGTAGGTATAGTAGGTGTTAATGGGGTCAAAGTACACTTTCAACCAAGTGGTTACTGAGCCAACTTTCCCATATATCCCATCTTCCTGAAACCCCAAGACTGAAAGAACCAAAAAATCTTATTCTGCATGCGTCAATCAGAACTAACAACCTCCTAAATGAAGGTCAGCTTGAAGAATTATGTGCAATTTTGTGATTGAAAAAGACTGCCAAACTGTTCCCTGTCCAAAACCTGATGAAATGGTTGGCAATCATGGACAGTATAAGGCCTCTACATTTTGACAATGCCAATTGTGATTCAGAAATACAGTTGCCAAGTGTGTAGATAAAGATATAACCAGAGTGGGAAAAGCAGAGACAAAGTGTAAAATAGCATAATAAAGATTTCTTTAAGAGGCTGCTATGGAAGTAGGCAACAACTACAATACAATCCTGAAACATTTGTGCTAAAATTAAAGATCTTACGTCATGGCAAATAAGAATAGTGATTCTAAGGATAGTAACTTTAACATATCCTGTGAAATTAGTAGCAAAGACACTCAAGATGACAGCAGTGGTGATGTTAAATATTATCACACCTCTTTAATAGAACATTTTACATTTGAGGTGAAGTCCTACAGTAATGCTGGTTAGATACATCCACTTTTTCTTTTAAAAAAACTTCTTATTAACATATGTTAAAAATTGTTAAAATTGAATCAGTGACATGACTGAATTTCAATATACTGTTTCATTAGAGGTGCAATCACTAGGTTTTGTGTTCCTCCTAGGGAACATAAGAGGTCTGATGAATGGCAGAATTAAATACAAATTTATGGTTATGGTTTTTGTCCTCTGATTATGAAATAAATTATGAAATAAACTCTCTAAATACAAAACCCAACAACACTCAAATAGTTTCATTTTAGTTGAACACCAAATTAGTGAGATGACATCCTCTAATAAAACCAATCATGTAAACCTTACACAGTGACTCACATGTATCTACATGCTGGTGCTTTCTCCCAGCTCTTCAAATAGTATTTTAATTAGTACATATCCCTTTATCACAAATCAAACTGCCCTGGAAACCAGCTGTGAAAGACACAAATGCACACACAGAAAATCAGATGGTAACATGGAAAAGTCATAACTGGAAGTACCTCAGCAATAGGGCTGCCAAGCATGAAGAGATCAAGCAATGCAAATTTAAAACAATATAACTTCTAAAATTTTATTAAACAATATGAAAGCTGGTTATTCCTCATATTTTAAGATAGTTCTAGTGGCCTGAGCAATGTTCAATATCAAGGATTGTCAGCAAATACTTGCGGTATATAATAATCCACTCTTCTCCCCCCATTTTGAGAGCTGATAAGCAGATGCTATTAAAGTTTACAAAGCAATCTGGAAGCAGTTCTGACCACTGAAAGTATTTGGTCATTTGGATGCAATCACCCAGAAAAACCAAATGAGGAAAATATTTGGGGAAAAACTCCTTCAGTGCTCTCATAGCATTCTGTTATGGGAAGCATAAAGCCCAAATCCATAGATTTTACACTGCAAACAAATCAAAATCTGTTCTCACTCCCTCTCTTTTCCTATCATCCCTTTTTTTTATGCCAGAAAAACAAAAGACTCAAATTCATCATCTCACAATTTATGTCAGTTCGAATGACAAATCCCTACCTTGACAGATTACAGCAGCAAGGAAGAGACATTTGGATTTCCCAGGACAACTGGGCTGAGAATTCCTTATTTCATCCATTTGGTTTCCAAGAAACAGAAGGGGCTGCAGCTGCTCCCAGCCCCTGCCTACTATCCCCAATCTCCCATCAGTCATGAAAGTACTGATGTGAAGATTAAACATAAACTTTCAAACATCTTCTGGATCAAAACATCCTAAACAAGTCTGAAAAAAATGAGATTAAATCATTTTCTATCACCAATAGTCCATTTGTTTCTGACCGGATGTGGTTTTCACTAAAAGGCTGCAAATCAGTCGGACAGACACACATCCATACTGAAAATGGAGTTACAAAATAGGAAAACAGACTGGCATTTTCTAAGAAATTGATTATTTCACAACAGCTTGTCCAATGTCACTTGAAAGGAAAAATAATTTGAGTTCATGTTCACTACCTACAGAGCTGCCACTCAGCAAAGTGTATATCTGTTACCAGAGTAAAAAGAATCTAAATCATTCAATTCATTCTCAGGTTTCAATTAGGCTTTCAGCCATCCTACATCCAAAGATGTATCAAAACATTCCTTAGAAAAATGTCCTGAATAGAAAAGATGAGGTGAAACAAATTGGTTTAGTAGTCACCACAGTCAGGGATGTCAAAATGAATTATGTTCTGGCTATGTGAATAGGAAAAAAAATGAAAAGGGTGCATGTATGCTTAGTCTAATTAAAATCTAAAGCTTCTACTCAACATATAATATAATGCCATTATTATTATTTTAATTACTTTTCTTCCTGTACATCATAAGCTAATCACACCTACATTTGACCACCTTTCAAACCAATTACACCACAAGTATTTATTTTTTTCTGCTGTCATTTAAATTAGTGCTTATAGAGCAAATATTATTTAAGTCTGTACGCAGCAATATCTCCATGCAAGTAAAGCTGAATCTTGCATTCTCTGTGCCCATATACTGAAACTTTGCTGAACAGAATTTCTTTTCACAGGGAGAGGCAAGTTGGGCCAGTCATTTAATATTAGAGAGAAAATGAGCATGAAGTTCATACATTAAACTATAGTACTGTATTTTACAATTACAGTAAACTCTACTGGAGTTCAGGACTTAGGTTCAGTCCCTTTATGAACCTTTGTTAAGCTGAGATGCTGCCAGTGTGGAAAGGCCACTACTTTAAAGTCAGTAGTGGATGGAAACCATCTACTGAAGACTAGTCCAACATACAGAAAGTAATTACTCTGCCCATGAAGTATATTTATTCAATTACGATGTTTCAGTAATCATAAACAACCTTTCAAAAAGCAACTATCTGTGGAACATACACCACTACCACACCGAATGGGCAGTCCATGGTTAAGGGATCTTCTGCCTTTTATCCATTAAGCATCAGCATGTACAGGTTTCATTCACAACAGGCACCACTGTGATTATGTAGTTGTATAAACCTCAGAACAAAGGCATTCCAACTCCCTTATTAGGCACACATCCACCATCCTATGACAGGATAATCAAACCCAGCTCTACCAGATATTTTCAGACACAAACTACCAAGAGATTTCTGACTTGCTGAAGTAGATGGCATGAACTTATCAAGAAGAGAATTAGTCTTGAGAGGTAAGCATATATTAGCCATATTTCAGACCTAACCTTGGTTAATGAGTTCTTTTGTAGGTTACAACTATATTTTTATCAGGTATATTATATTCAATATTAGTAAATTTTAATTCTGAAGAATGAAACATGCAGTGGGTAATATTTTCTCCTGTAGTTAATTTGAAAGATTACTGTCATCCAATCTATTTCCAGAAATAAATGTGACTATTCTACCTTTTTAAACAGAGAGCTTTTCAAAGAAATTGAAGGGAAAAAAAGCATACTTCTTTCTTCTTTTCACCAAACATCATCTGTCAGTGTTAAAAAACTGCAGGGAGCATCTTTCCACAATCATTCTTCCTGTAAGATCTTGCCACTTTTAATCAGCTTGAAATGTTGCAAGGAGGCACTTCCACTATTAAATATTCTTTTCTTGATGAAAGAACAGCATTTCCAAAAGATTCAAAGTATTCCCTTACCCATTTTATTTACTCATTTTCTGTTAATACTTGCAAAAACAAACTAAGAAA